ATTAGTTGGTATATTTCGTCTACATTGACGTGTTTGTTAATTGCGTTTCCGTTTGAGTACCAGGCTTCTAGGAATTCGCTGGCACTTTTCGTGTTTCCTCTGTCTAAGATTTTGACATTATTCCAATCAAACTGATGACTATAATTGTCTATATGCATTGATAATAAAGAATTCATATCGTGTTGCAAAATAAATTGTATGAACTGCAACAAGCGTTACATCGGCCAAAGTGGGCGTCCCCTTCGAATGAGAATCCAGGAACACAAATCAGTTGTGAAAGGACATGATATGTATTCTTTAGTATCAATGCATATAGACAATTATAGTCATCAGTTTGATTGGAATAATGTCAAAATCTTAGACAGAGGAAACACGAAAAGTGCCAGCGAATTCCTAGAAGCCTGGTACTCAAACGGAAACGCAATTAACAAACACGTCAATGTAGACGAAATATACCAACTAATAAAAAGTAAATCAGGCGACCATAAAGTTTAAAATCCAAGTCAATAGGAAATGGTCAATACATGTGTAAAGATGGTTACCGGAAGACGCAATTATATCACTCATGAAGAAATTTAAATCATTTCACTTTATGCTTAATATTGTGCTGAAGGGGGATGTTGTCCATCAGGGGGACGACGAAAGCTCCGCAACTAAACCAACCAGCTCAGAGAACACTATAAATTGCAAATATCATAATATATATTACATTAGGTAAATTCACATCCTAGTTTTCAAAATAGCTGTATGATGCGCAACAGTAGTGTGTCTGTGTCAAAGAAATGCACATTATTCATCTTCTAATAAGAAGTCCCCCTTAACCGTCACCTTACTTACTTGTTGATTGATTTTGTAGACATATCAAGGTGATTGGGTGAGTGAACTTTTTGACTTAAATCAATTGGATTACAATTGGAAGAATTTGTTCCATCATTTTGGCTGGAAAACATTTCTTCAAAATGATGGTTCAGGTTATACTCATTCGTATTGGTATTTGTCAGCTTTGTCTAAGCGAGCAAGAAAGAAAGAAGAAATTAAGTTTTCGATTTTTGACTTACAGCAATTTGGTTTCTTTTAAAGTCATTATATTTTAATATTAATATTATTCTCATAGGTTACGAGTGAAGGAAATAGCGCTTCAGAAGGACATCTCCGTTTCACTGTGTTCTTTGGAGTCCTCTTTAACTGGAATCACGATTACTGATAATCTCCCACCCTGTCTTCACATGATCTCCTCCTCTGTGTCACCATGAGACTCTCACCCAACTCATCATTTCCGATTAAGGTTCTACTGGAGGTATAGTCTGGCGCGCAGTATCACCTGACGGTCTCCTCAGTGTATGTCCAATTAATTTTCATTTCCTTATGCATATTTGTTGATCAAAAGGTCTCTAGTTTGTTGGTTGGTTCCTAAAGTTTCTTGTTGCTTATTATTTCTGGCTGACCATTTGATCTTCAAGTCTCTATCAACCTCAATCAACAGTTGGCTAGATGACAATGCCACATGTTAGATGATCCCCAACGGAAATCTCAGCAAGACATTCGAAGTGAACGCAGGAGTAAGACAAGCTGAGTGTCTGTTGTAACCGGTGATATTACTAAGTGTGGCGGACTGGATTGTGCTTCAAACTGTGTGTTGGGAGCGAGGAACCAGGAGTACACTGCACCAACGATAAGAAGACTCTAAAAAATCTGGATTTCACGTGTGGATGATTTATGTCTCATGTCGCACAAACTCAAAGACTTACAGGCAGGTGAAAACCAACAGACTGGTTGAAGAAGGTGTCAGCAAAGGACAGGACTCCAGGTGAAAATAGAGAAGATGGAGCTGAGGACGATAACCAACCAACAGCAGCAACAACATCAACAACAACCAACACCAGTCACCATCAATGGGACAGATTTGAAAGAAGTTACTTTCAGGCTTCACTTTTCTCTCCGGAAGCACAATTTCAACCACAGCCAGGTGGAACAGATAAAGATATTAAAACCAGCCAGCCAGCCGGAATCGGAAAGGCGAGATACGCCTTATGCTAACTCAGCCAGCATAAAGAACAAAATTCGAATTTTCAACAGTAGTGTGAGGTCAGTCAGTCAGTTCTTCCAAATGGTTCAGAAACTTGGCAGATGTGTTACAAAAAGGAATTCTAACAAGTTACAGACTTTTATCAAAAACTGCATTTGCTGACTCCATAGTGAAGATCAATTCTTCGGCTGGCAAACCAGAAAGAATTAGCAACAAGAAACTCTGGCTGGGAACAAACCAATAAGTGACAAACGATTGCTCAACAAATATGTAGGAGAAAATGGAGATGGATCGGGCATACGACACTGAGGAGACCGTCGGATGACATTGCTCACAATGCAGATCATCGCTCTAGTGGAATCCAAATAGGAAGCGACGAGTGGGTCGTCTGTACAAAAATGACATGGAGGAAATCGTGGGATACGAGGGGGATATGAGAGATTGTGGGCGACTGTGGAGCTAGCCAGATGAAGAGGACGGTAGAAAATAGAAGAAAGTGGAGATATGTTGTTGAAGCCAGCCCTATGTTCCACTTGGAACCCAAGGGAATAATAAAAATAATACCTTCAGTATGAAGCAAGCGAAGGCAGTTGTTGGTGAGAGTCTGCAAACAGTTAGAAATTGTCTTTTTGATGCGCTGAGTTTCTGACATATTGAAGAAATGACTAACTTCACATTAGTGTTGAAAATCCGAAAAATTTCTTCTTCATGCTGAGTTTAGAAGATTTCCATACTGGTTTCAGACTGATAAAGTTCTGTCTTGGCTTTCCGATTCTAGTTTTCGTATTCTAATCCATGGAGTCAGCCGTAGTTGAAACGATGTTGTCAAGATAAGGGAAAGACGTAACCTCTTTCAAATTTCCCCCCAATGATATTGATTGGTCGATGGGTATATTCATCACCTCTATCTTCTATGTATTTACACTAAATCGAGTTTATGTGACATTAGACATAAAATGTTCGTTAACTCATGATCTTCTTTGGCATTCTTATGTATTCCAGTCTTTCTGCTCCCCTTGGTCTGCCACTTAATCCAGTCCACCATAATTAAAACAATCATCAGTTAGTTTAACAGTTTCCTAGTCGATCCTAAGCCCGGTAAATTCCGGCGTGAACTAACAACTCTACCCTCTGAAAATAAATCAGATGGCTACAGAAACTTCAAATCACAACAAAAATATGCAGAACAAACTTGTTTTTCAAATCAGGTCATAAATCCACATAGTTCATGGTCTCATATCGCATAACTGGAAATGCTTGAGTCATGTGGATGTATCACCGAAGAACCACAAACGAGTACGAGACAACTGTCCTGTATATTCAGTAGTTTTTAATGGTTATATGACTTGGTCTGGTTCATGATCCAACTTGAAACTCCTGTTATTAAAGTAGACCCATTGCTATTACTTCCCCTTTTCTAAAAGCTATGGAAAAGTTGCTCTTACTTAATCTTCAACCTTCACTTAAAGCCTTTAACGATCCCAAACAATTCGCCTACAGACAGAGTAGAAGTACTTTAGACGCAGCTGCAGTCTTGTATCATAACATTGTCTCCAGCTTAGACAAGGGGGCTAAATTTGTTTGCTGCACCTTTCTAGATGATACATCTGCTTTCGACTCAGTACCTAGGGACATTTCACAAAACAAGCTTGCTGAAACTCAAACTGACTGTTGGGTTGTCAAATGGCTGCATTCTTATTTCTCAGGAAGAAAGCAATACACTGTGTGTCAGAGAAAGTCGTCCACTTCATTGCTTACTGAGGCTGATGTCCCTCAAGGCGCTGTCCTTTCTCCTTTTCTGTTTTCTTTCCTCTTGCATGACTTGCCTCACTCTGATGAAATGAACTTTGTTAAGTATGCTGATGATCTAATTATTTCAATGTCTGTTAACTCTCAGCTTGACTGCACTAAGATAAACAACTTTCTATCGGAAGTTAGTAAATGGTCTTCGTCTAACGGCTTTAAACTTAATCCTTCCAAATGTCAGACTGTTAATTTCAGTTTCCGATGTAAACGAAAGTTAAATGAAGCCGTTGGTTCCTATGACCCTTGCAAAATCGATGATACTGATATAGAAACCCAGGCTGAAGTTAAGTATCCTGGATTAGTTCTCTCTTCTGACCTATCCTGGTCTTCTCATGTCTTAGCGATTTCTAAAAGAATATTTCGTTTGACTTTTTACATTAAGAAGTTAAGGCACTCGGGCATAACTCAACCACTCCTCTTACAGCTTATCAACTCGTGTATTTTACCCATTCTTCTTTACTGTTCACCCTTATTCTTTCCTGGATTGCTTAAAAAAGATTACGTCATACTTCGTAGAACTCTGAAGACTGTCAGTCAGTAGGGCGAGTGGTATCCCATTGGGCCATATCGTTGGCATTGTCACCGATAGGCATTTGATGTCATGCAACAAATTCGCTAGAGGAATTTTGTCAAACTCTGAGCACCCATTCTACCAGCAGCTCCAACCTTGTTTCTCCTCAGGTAAAACAAGCAGTCTTTTCAGAAGACTTTAGGCACGTACGTCTGAGTATAAAAATTCCACTATACCATATTTGGCACGTACTTTATGTGATGAAAATAGTGTTAGGCATGAACTAACTAACCTTCTTTGCACTACTAAATAAACCATTTCTTTCAACCTTAAAGCATCATACTTTATTGTTATTGCATTTCTTATATTTATAATCCTCTCAATTTTTTCGTTTTGTTTATTTTCTTTTCATAAGTTTAGACATAATTTAAGCTGTATTATAACTGTTAATTTTGCATTTCCCCGCACCATACTATATCAACAGAACATTAGACCCAATAATCTATAAGATGCTAAAGTTTCCAAACTGAATCGACAATACCGTTTGAAACAAACTCACTGTTATTATTATTACTATTATTATTATTATATCTAATAAGTATGTCGTAAATGTGGACAAATCCCTCCGATTAATTTTGTTTTAATTTTATATATATTTTGAGTAAATCAGATGCAATATTGTGACAAATACTGAGAATTCCATTCTGTGTTATAAGTACTGTTTTTGGAATAAAATAAGTTATTATTATTATTAAATCGTTGGTTTCATACTGTGACTGACTTTCAAATTAGGTGGAGCCATCAGCCATGATTTGTGTATCGTATTATGCACAATAGGAAAAAGGTAGATTAAGGAAAATAGCTTGAATTGTTAATTCCATACACATTAATCTTTATCTCAAAGTTATTAGTAGAATGGAAGAGAACAGTTTGTTGAAAAATAAGTTAGTTTTCAAAGCCTACTCTACATATCCTCTATACTGAAAGTTGGATGGCCGCTCTCAGATGACGAGCAACCATAAGGAACATTGACAGGTACACAATCATCCAACAATCTACTGTCAAAAGAATAGGTCTACACTGAAAAGACCTCTAAACGACATCACAAAATCAGACCTTCGATTGGAACCCAAACAGGAAGCAGAGAATTGAGCGTCTAAGAGTCACATAGAGGAAATCGTGTGTTGAAGAAATGTAATCTTGTGAACGGTTGTGTATTCAGCTAAAATGGACTGGAGAGATCAAAGTGAAATAGAGGTGTTCTGATGAAACCCTGCTTTTCATTCAAAACTCAAGGGATTAATAATAATAATAATGATAATAATGGTAATAATAATTAGGAATTCTCATTATCCTATTGGTCATCTCTGGAATGTCTATCTTTCTATCTTTCTGATCTCATAGGCTGGAAATTAGTATGTGTCTGTCCCACAATATATATATATATATATATATACATATATTCCAATATACGTCAGCCTTATCAACAGAAAGGCCTGATCAAATATTGTACAGCATCCTATTTCTTATTAATAGTATTTGTTATTAATGGTGCTTGCATATGTAGGCTGTTCATTTTTGTTTGACTGGATGGAATATTTCATAATGAGCTGACATCAGTTACAGAATCATTGGTAAACCACCACCGGAGTACTGGACAGACGTTTCGTCCTAGTTTGGGACTCCTCATCATTTCGCACCTACACTGTGGGGTTTGACTTCCATGACCTACTGGTTACAAGGCGGGCGAGCTCGTAGACCATTTAGCCACTGAGACTCACCAATCCCATGGCCACTTCCTGAACTCTAACTTCTGCCAATTCATGACTTAGCGAGACCACTTCGCAATGTCTTCTTCGATGAGTAACTGCCTCACCTTCAACTTGCTGTACCCTATTGGTCATGGCTTCCCACTAGAACCCCTGGTAACTGCCTGAATAGGGTCAGCCGCTAGTGAGCATCAGATTAATTTTCAATTATTGGATTTTGTAGGGATTTTGTCTGAATGGTTGGAGGATTTCATCACGAGCTGATATCAGCTAGAGAACCACTGGTGTCAAGACGATATACAAAGGTGGTGGGGGTGGAGTGTTATGTAAATGAACTATTTCTTATCGATTAACAAAAGTAAATAGTCACTGGGAGACAGTTATAGACAGCGATACCTTGATGTAGCTTCTTCCCTACGCTTTATTGTCCAAACGGCATTTACGCGGATGTTTAACAGTAAAACTTGTTTAATATCTTCTAACCAAGTCTTCTCAGACTTCAACACCTTCAGTGATTTAGTGATTGGATTTAGCGTGTAGAAGCATAAGCATTTAGGCAATAGGACATCGGTTTCACCAGAGAGGTACGTCGAAAATCATACAGACTTCATTTCAGAGAGGGATACCCAGCCTAATAGACACAAAATGGAGAAGAGGATCAAATTTAGGCGAAGAACCATTCAAGGTTAATTTGAAGGCCTTCACAACAGCTGGAGATAGACGCCAGTCAAAGTTCAACACTGGAAAACTGAAGGAAGAAACTGCAAAGGGAATCTTTTGTACAGCCATTAGAGTAAGGTCAAAAATATCCCTGAGGAAAACTATGTGGAGTAACTCTCTAAAATAGGACATAAGACAAGGAATAGCTCTGAATGGACACGTGAAAGCTAATAGTGAAAAAAGAGATGGTAAAACAGATGATAAATCAGTACAGAGATGAACAATAATTATTCTACAACGCTGTGGAAAAAAGGAGTGAAGACAAGTGTTAAGAAAGACAAACGACAATTCTATAACACCCTTGCAATTGAAGCAGAACAGGCCTCAGGTAAGACAGACGTCAAAAGATTATGTATCAGATAACCAGGTCTCTATGCGAGAAGAGATCAACACAGGTGAAAACCAGTAAAATGTAGTGAAGCAGACATAACTACCGAAGAGGAGAAACAACGTAAACGCTGGGCCGTTAATTCCAAAAGACTCTTGAGTGTACCACTACATGGAACTCGTCGATAAATACCACTAACAATTATAAGACTGCCCATGAACACTAAATCTAAAGTGGCATCATCCTAGAAGCACTAAAAGATCCTCTGGACGCGAAAATCTGCCCGGAACAAGCTGGATTCAAGGGAAGCAGATCATGTGCAGACCAAATTTTCAACATTTATGTCAAGTCAGACACTGCTTCTATATGCTTCAGAGACCCTGTTTGTGCGTCAGCGAAAATATCTCCAACAGGCTTCTGTAGGCTTCCATAAACAGAGGCATTTACTCCGTACTGAAGATTAGATGGCCAACCGGAAAGGATCAGCAACAAGTTACTCTTGAAGGCAGTGAACCAGAGGGCAAGAGCCTACTGTCCAACAAATATGACGAAGGGAATGGAGATATATTAGAGATACACTGTGGAGTGGGGTTGGGAGTTAGTTGGTATCACAAATCAAGTAGACTATCGAGAGGATATGGAATGGCAAACGATTAGTTAGGCGTCACTTCAAGGGTGACATGAACAAATACCATGCAAACAAGAAATAATACGAAGCTGGTAGTCATAAGGCCACCTAGTATGACGTTAAGGAAAAGAGTACAACAGATGTGTGCTGCCAAACGCTTACATTCCATCAGTGACATTTACAAACAGTTAGACATAAATCTGGTGGTTTAAAGTGATTTGACTCTTTGAGCTCAATCAAACCAGTTTCACGCGTGGCGAGCTCGGTCCCAAACCATAGAAACTTCCACCAAGTGTTTAGATCTCACCTCCATATGACCAACGGACACTACTAGCTGATATTGAGTTACATACACCTACTTATCTCTGTCAATCAGTAGTATAGAGTCGCATTCTCTATATTCCACTCTGAACACCGAGAATAAATAATAATGGCAAAAAAGTGATCTAGACTCAGTATGGTCTAAGCTGCTGAATGAATGTTTTCACCTTATTTCTCTAAAACTTTCAAGTCGATATTCACATTGAAATAGAAATGGTATTTCAAAAATAAAGTTAATCCTTCAAACCCTTTTGCAATTTAATGGGGACGTGGCTAGTGAAGTCTTACATCTGAGATTATCGAGAGCGATAAAACGGACTTATACTGCAGCCACCCATTGTTTGTCATTTTCCAGCTAACCCATTATGATTACTAAAGCGAGAGACAAGCTACCTAGCTGTGCCACTTCTATGTGTATCTAAAAATTTGACTACTCCTGGGGTGAAAGCTATACATAGGGCGAACAACTGGGCAGCTCAAAAAACGTATTAATCAGCATCTTCCCTCATGGTTCGGAAAAGGCTAAATGAAATGTATAAGAAGTCCTATTTTGAATCATTTGATTGCTGATAGTGGTCACCAGGTAGACAGAAGAGGTAAAGTTATCTGTCGTATTCTATTGAAAAATTGGAATGGAAGTTGAGCCCGCCTTTTACACATAACCGAAGTTATGTAAATTAACTCGATAGAACAACCCTAGTCTTTGCATAGAAAGGAAGTTTTTTCTGCCTTTGTCTCTCCCTTGGCCTGTGTAAAGTCTAATTAAAAACCCTCCCACATTTTCATATTTTCCATTTCCTTTGTACTTTTATGGTATTTATTCGAACTCTGATTATCTGTCTACTTCCCATTTAGTAATGCGTAACTTTAAAGATTTGACCTAATTTATATATTGAATTGTCTACATATACACTCACATATTACTACCTTCGTTATTCTTATCGCCACCTGCATAAACCTTATTAACATTATTTTGTCATCACTATAATCATCGTTATTAGTGGCGTTCAAAACACTTAACACGTCATTGGTTAAAATCTTTATATTTAAATCTATTTTGAAGAGTTGGTTTGTAAGGATTAGATTTGTTTATACAAGTTTGACCACGGATTGATGATTCCAGTTCGAGAACCGTCGAAAACCAGGGAGTATTGGACAGTGTGACCTGTTTCACCCTAGTTCACCCACGGTGTGGGGTTTGAAAGCAGCACCTTCCGGCTACAAGGCAACGTCACATACCATTCATCCACAGGGAGTCGATTCAACGACCAGCCCATGAACATTAACTTCTACCAATTCGTGATTTAGCACGACCACCAACCATCGTCATCGGTGGGACATCCGTCCTCACACTTGACTGGATGGACCTCACTGGTCACGAATTCTCACTAGAACTCCAGGAAACTGAGTTCTGTAGGTCTTGCGTTAGAACCCCATGGCATGGGTGCGTACTGACGATGACTCCCAAACTAGGATGAAACAGCTCACTGTCCAGTACTCCGTGATTGGTTTTCACTGCTTCTCTAACTGATATCAATCCATGGTCAAACTCGTAAAACCACATAAATCTATGTAAATTAGAGTAAAGTCTGAAGAAGATCTAATTGAAAACAGCAATACTGTTCGCTTATATGTCTTCTTCTAACACTAATAATAATGGCAATATTTAAAAATTGGAAAAACCGTTTATTTACAAAAACTAAATAGTAGTTTACAAACAATGTATACATCATACTTACCTCATTAAATAATAAATCACAATTTGTTGAATGTTTCAATTGTACAAAATTCAATATTTGTTTATTCACTTCATTATGATGAATATATTCAACTTGATTTGAAATTAATTTATTCACCAGTAATTCAATTGTATACTCACACAAATGATGGAATAATTTATAGGCATAATGTATTTCAGCTGATGACATTTGATGCAATAAATTACACAAATAATTAATCTAGAAAAGAAAAGTGAACATAATTTTATTTTTGTTAGTAAACACAAATTTACTGTTGTATTCAATGTGTTCAATAATTGATCATATCCATTTGTATTATCCATAATAAATAATGATGGTGATAATAAATAATTATAAACAAGATGGCGAGTAAAGGAGATGAGGTATTTTGAATTAATTTAAGATAATTCTTCCTGATTATTCCGTTATGTAGTGGGAAGTAGCCTGATTTGTTTTGAATTTTCGTAGGAGAAACATTTATGAGAATACGCGCTGACAATATTTATTATATGCACAGCATTACGGAAGAGTTGTGTATTAATTTAAAATAATCTATCTTGAAGAAAATAATCAATAAATACACATGCATATATATGTATGTAAGTATATAAGTACGTATATATATATATATATATATATTCAATCGATATATCCACAGAATTAATCAATAAATATATAGCATTGATTTTCAATGATTTGATATAATTTATGTTAAGGTTATAATGAGATGATTCATTAGTTAACTAAAATGATAAATATATATATATATATGTATTTTAGAAGAATCTCCTAATCGTTATCAATGAGAAGAAATAATGGAAGTAAGTGTAGCACACTACAGGATCCGCTATTCCGTTGTACGACGAATGTGCAGTTTTAGTTTAATAACGAACGTTATGTTAAAGTGGAGACATAGCGAGGCTGCCCCTTGGATTATCTCCCAGCCTATATGTTTTAATAGTAAGATTAGAAAATCGTCTAATCAATGAACCCTCGTTCTACTGTAGATGCATAGGTGATACTTTTATCTTGTTTAGGAATAAAATCGATATCAAGACCCTTCTTAAAACGTTCAATATGGCTCAGTTGCAGATTGAGTTCATGTTACGAAACAGAGAAAGACAATACTTTATCATTTCTTGATGTCTTGAAAACATGAAAGCAAGATGGCAGTATTTAGCAGGGTATTTTCCGTAAGAAATCATGGGTTGGCCAATATGTTCATTTCAGGTAGTTTGTTCCTCTAGTATTCACACGAAATATCATAAGTACCCTCATGTTTCTTGATAGAAAAATCTGCACAACCGACACTCTTGAAGAAAATAGAAAAAGAATGGTTACTGAACAAAGAATATTCTTTCCCATAACGCCTTCTTCATCAGGCTCCACAGTTATATATACATGATAGTGAATGAATGAATTAGTGTTATGAACAACATTAATGTTGTTTAAATAACATCGAATCAATAATATCAATAGTATCAACATAACAATAAACTGAATGTCAGAAAAATTAGGAAAGATAATATTACAAATTCATGAATTTATAGTCTCTACTGAAGGCTAACCATGGCAGTAGTAGGGGCTGGACTTACTTCTTTTGAAAACAAAGCAATAGTTGTTTGAGGCGAATTGCAATAGCCTCTGCTGTTTGGAGCATGCGGTTCTTCGATGATTCTGGCAATTCATTTGGTACCTGGTAGATTATAGAGAAGGATTCTTCAACGCTGGCTGACTTTGTGGCCGGTTTGCACCAAATGGTCCAATATCGAACTGCTAATGGTTTTAACTACACCTTTACCTAGTCATAGTGGGAGATGTTCTCGAGCACGAAAAATCAAGTTCCTAGAGCAATGGCCAATATAACTCGCTCCACAAGCGCAGTTGAATTGATAGATACAATTTGAAGTGGCTAGTCTAGGTACTTCATCTTTCAATCGAGGTAGCACCATCGGTTGTGTAGAGAATAATACATGTAGTTCGCCAACATTAAAAGTTCTTTGAACTGATTTTCTTAATTTCGTCGTAATTATCTCGCTTGGTATATCGCCCTTGAATTGCAGTCGTATATAAAGAGGCTTCTTGTTTACAGATAGTTAGTAGTCCTTTTCCGCTTTCTTTGTCATGTGTTTCCTGATAAATTTGTCTGGATAGCTATTTTCAATCAAAGTATCATATACAATGCTTAATTCATTTTCAATTACTTCTTCTGAGCATATAGCTCTAACTCTGTAGCTGAGGGTCTTCACTAAATTTCTTTTATACTTGATAGGAACGAAGCTATGAAAATGTGTATATTGTCCTGTCCAAGTACTTTTTCTATGCAAATTTCTTTTTATGCTACCATCTGGTTTTCTTGTAAGTAGGACATCCAGGAAGGCAATTCTGTTTTGGGATTCCTCTTCGCATGTGAATTTCATAGCCTAATGTACTTCATTGAATTCAGTAATTATTGTACTCCTATCCGAATCATTATCACAAAGAATGAAGGTGTCATCCATATAGTGGCAATAAAATGAGAATTTTCTGATAAGGTTGTTCAAAGGTCCATTTTCTAGCTTACTTAGAAAGAAATTAGCCAGAATGGGACCCAGCAGGGAGTCCATAGCCACCCCGTCCACTTGCCTGTAAAACGTACTGTCAAATTTGAAATTTACATTCATGGTACACCTTAATAACAATTCTTTTAGGATTTCCGTTGGGATGCCAATATTTATTGACTGGTTATCCACTTGTTCACATATGTAGTTAACTGTTTCTACTAGACGTACATTTGTGAATAAAGATGTTATGTCCAAAGATATCATGGTTTTGTCCTTGATATTAATATCTTTGATTTTGTCTACGAATTCAAATACATCTTTGACGCTATATTTCACTATCTTCTCATGCAAAGGTTTGAGAATATTTACTAACCATCTAGCTAGAGCATGGTGGGGCGAATTTTGCATATCAAGTATTTGTCCTAACGGTACCCCCGGTTTGTGCACTTTAGGTAGGCCATACAATCTCGGCATGTACGTGCTCGCTGGCCTGATTTCTTCATAAAAACTAAGGGAGGGGCAGATATTCTCTGAAAGGATGGAGAGAGAGAGAGAGAAATGCCTGTAAACAGTGCAGTAGAAACCGACATATAGGACTTGACTGTTCAAGGCAGACGCAGACAATGAATTACTGACATCGAAACTCTAAAATATAATAGTTAAAACATTCTTTGCAGTTTAAAATGTTTGAAATTCTCTCTCATTTTATAATTCCGATGCAGGTGAAGAATAAGCTACCGAGGCTGGCCATTTTACTGGGCATTTATAAATTTAACTGTTCTTGTGGAGACAGTTACATAAATAGAACAACTTGGCAAGCCTGCCGTCGCCTGATGGAGCATTATCCAATGTGGTTAGATAAAGGAGTAACGTAACGTCAATCACGAGTTCCATATTGGCACACACCTTATGGATACAGAGAGTTTGAGTAATCGTTGACCCAGTTGAAGAGGATGGCAGTAAATAGAAGCCCTGTTTTCTACTCGGAACCCAAGGGAACAATAATGATTTAAAAAAATTCCGCCTTCATAATTCTGTACAAGGTGCCACCTCAGTTCCCTAGGTTTGTACACTTTCGACTGCTGCGCATAGATAAGGCAATCTATGTGTTAAGAAAAGTCTGTTCAATCCCTCTGCCTTCCACGGCCTTTAATCCCAACACAGAATAGTTAACCCTCCAAGTGACACTGGATAACTGCAAATAGTTTACTTTTAATTATACTGCTTACTTTATTATCAGTATCATACTGTTGTGGGTGTATTTTTTAATTTCAGTTGCACAATTTATTAATAATATTATTTTACTTGCATCTTACGTGATCGGTCGGTCGGTCGGTTTTCGACATAGAACTTTGCACATATGTGCGGCAGTTCAAGTCACCACACTCCATGTAGCACACAAAGCAAGAGAAGAAGGTAGGAGAAATGCATATGTCAAGGAACTTAGCCCTAAGTTCCTATTGTAACGAAGACTTAAGCGATTGAGCCGATAAATACTATGAGTTTTCTTCAACTTTAAATCCAAAACACCAGTATTCCTTGAACGAAATTATATTGTTTGGCAATTAAATTGAAGAAAACTACAAAGTCTGCAAACAAGTGTTAAGTACAAATGAAGTTATAAAGTACTTTTATTCGTATTGAAATCCAGTCTTCCTTCAACTTGCAAGCGATCGTTCCATTCGCGCCTTCAATTTCCCGCCAATGGTTGCCAGTTCCAATAAAACAAACGTTCAATGTTCACTTCCATTGACACTCCCCGGCAAAAAAGGGTCCATCCCTTTTTTCCACAACGGCGGTAACCTTGAACTGAACTGCCAATGCGGGAACCTGGGCCAATCGGGACTAGGCTAAAATTGGAAAAGCAAGACAAAAAAGCCCAACACACAACAAACATACCACATCACACCGACACGCTCTCCCCGGCGCATGGGGTCTACGCTCTCTGACGACAATACCACCACTGATCTCGTTCACAAAGAGTATCGATTGCTTCATTCCACTCTAGCCCAATCCTCTCCCCGGCGTATCCAATCGCGTACGCTGACTCTAACATTACACAATTCACTCACAAGTTTAGAAGCGAATTCAGAAGTACTTACAAAACATTACAAGATGATTCACACAATGCGGCAACTATAAAATTAACCGACAATCAGATGAATCGGAACCCACTTAATTACTCAACACAGACATATGTACAATCAATACATCAAATATTGCGGATTCTGCCTTGACGAGCTACCCTTGAAGAACTGTAGGACTTACAGCAGTACGCCTACATTCCTTCTCAGGTTGACGATCCAGGTGGAAGACGTCCGGACACAAACAAAATTAATCAACAGATAGAAGAGGGATGATACCAATTGATTATATACAACATGAACATATATACAAAATAATACACCAAGTACGATGGACTGCTCTTCGACGTACTACCCTTGAAGAATTGTAGGACTTACAGCAGTACGCCTACAACCCTTCTCAGGTTTACGCCCTTAAGTTGGAAAATCGTCGTTGAGCTCATTTGCTGACCTCCTTCCATCATCTTTATCCTCGACTCTGAATGGTAACACGCCCATGACATTGTATCGTGGAAGGTAGATGACTAACAAACATACGACGTATCTGACCAACCAAGCGAAGGTACAGAGTAATTTGAACCAAAGATAATAA